ATATATATATATATATATCTGCGATAACACTTTTTTATCCCATTTGTCAAGACATTCCTATTTAAACAAAAGGGAGACGGTAAAATTACTAAATAATCGTCCAGCAGACCGTAGCTTCATTACCGTCACCCATCTGTCAGTGGGGACACTATCCCGGAAAAGATTTGGCAGTGTAAGCCCGCAAATTACCTTGGACCGACGCAAACAACTTTCTTAGAACAACATTTCGAATAAAGCGGGCGGAACAAGTCTCTTCCGGAAACGAGAGATCTCCATGAAAAAAAAGTAAAAGAAAATCCGACGTCTTGAGTTTCTAGATTTCTCCAAATCAATTGGGATTTGTTGAGTTTGATTGGAGCTACCGAATGAGCGCTGTAAATCTTAGTCGAGAAATTCCCATAAGTCTTAATCGAAAAATTCTTATTTGAACTGAATTTTTAATGGTTAATCCTTTCTTTTTATATCTTGACTATTAATGTTAAAGCTTCCTCTGCGAAAAGTTAATCTGAAGTTAAACACTGTTTACACAACCTTAAGATGCTCCGTGGAACTTTTCTTTTACTTTTTTTTAATACTTTTCATTTTACAGTACAGAACCCGTTATCCGGAAAACCGAAAAACCTGAACGAAATTTGATAAATTTTTCCGCCATTTTTAAAAAAAAATTTTTTTTTTTTTCCTCATAAGATTTTAGGATTTTTCTTTCTTTTTTGAACGATGTTTACCTTACCATCATTTTGGAAATAATCACTTCATCGTTTTTTCAAGATTATTTCCAAATATTTTTTTTTAGTTTGGTTTAACAATAAAAAAAAACGGCTTTTTGTAGCGATTCAGAAAACGGGAAAAATAAGTTATCCGGAATAGCGATGGTCCCGATCGTTTCCCTACTGTATTTTATTTTTGTTTCGGATAAAATTTTCAGCACAATTTACTTGTGTTAATATGCATTATTGTTTTATGTTAAATATTTATGATGATAATTAAAACGACAGATATGTCCGTTATCAAGAATTCGAGAAATTTTCAATTACTTCATATTGTTGAAATCTTGGGTTTAAATTCAATTTCGACAATGTTAGTTATATCACATAAGCTCATCTTGATGCCCTAAAATCTTGTTTTATTCATATGAATGCTGATTCCCTTGTTACGACATTTGTTTCGGTCCATAACTCGTGGTAATGCATTTTAACCTAATTTACCCCGTTTTTCTTGTTCTGTTTTTCATCTTTTTACTCTCGGTCTCTGTGGTTTTTCTAGTTATGTTTCTCACCTTTATTATTTCATTTTTCGTTGGCAACTTAACGTTATTATTTCAAATCATTTTTGTTTCTTTTCATTCAGGTCTGGCAAATTTTGAAAACGATCGCCTAATGACACCTAATAATTTGCAATTAGCTCCTGTCGTTTTGGTATTTCTTAACTAGTAGTTAATTTATTGATAATTTCTCTTGAAAAGGTTGTTAAAAGAAGTTTTGTCAACCTGTAGCATTTTAATTATACCAAACCTTTTTCATTTCAGTGACCAAGTACATCCGTATCGGAATTGGTGACAAAAACGACAATCCCCCCTACTTCGAACAAGCTTCATACGAAGCAGAGGTCAACGAAGATGAGGACATACAGCATACTGTCATCACTGTGACAGCTAGAGATAAAGATGAATGTAAGTCTTTTTTTTATATAATGAAAATCTCTAATCAATCATCTTATATTTAAAGTTTGGATGAATTTGCACAATTTTATGAAAAGCTTGATGTAGTTCATATGCCAAGGCAAAGAATGGTATTCCTAAAATATTCTCTTTTTTTTACATAACTACAAAACGCATTTACATTAATAATAATCAGAATGGGTGACTATAATCGCCTTCTGTGTTATTACCTTAGCTATGGATTAAATTTCGAATGGCTCTGTCCATTTTGATGATCTGGGGGAGCTACAGAGAATGCTTTAGTTTAATCGGAATTAATTAAGACGTTGTATAGCCTCTTCCAATGAGCAATGGAGTATCAAGACCGAGATTCCTCCCATACCTTAAATTATTCCGAGCTATTTCTCAAGCACAGCTCAATTTTTTTTTATTATTTAAAGGTGATAAGAGTGCTATTTGACTCGTTTTTCGAAATGAAACCAAAAAATAAATAAAGATGGTTCATTTATTATGGTATACTCATCAAAAATTATTTTTATCTATAATACCATGAACCTAATTAAGTTCATTAGCCTGTAATGATTGAAGATAAGTATTTACTAAAATAAAGTGAAAAAAAAAATCTAAAATATTAGCATGAAGATTCAACACAGAAATTGAAATGCTGAGACTAAACAAATAAATAAATGAGGAAAACAGAGAAATTAGGAGCAAACAAAATATTATATTAATACTTATCTAAAAATTATAAAGTTTTAAATGAAAACAATTCTGAAAGAGCAAAAAATATTGTTTTGTTATTAAACAATTATTATGTCAGTACATGAATGCCAAGCGTAGCACTATATATAAATTTGAAATTTCAACATTTAAATTTAAAACAAAATTGTGCCAGACACTTTCATGGACTTAATTCTACATCATTTAATTATTATCGCCTTTTATAATAATTTAAATAAATATTTTATGAAAGTTACGTCACTATAACAACCGTTATCTTGATATAGGGATAGAATAAAGGAAGAGAGAAAAGAAGGAATGAATTAGTCAGTTCGCGAAAAAATGAAGAAAAGTAAAATAGGTTAACAATTTAAGGTACTGCAGTCGATGTCCATAAATTTTATTTTTTCTTTGAAGGAGACATAATAAGTTTTTTCTTGTAGTTAATTAAAAAAATTTATGCCGCGTTTGAATGATCAGATTAGTTCTGGTGGCAGAAAGTGCCCTAAATTTGAGCTATTTCTGTTTTGTTTTTATTTGCTGTAGGAATGCTGGTGTCACAAAAACCAAAAATGTAGATATCTATTGAAAAGGATTCAAAGATTTTTTCTTCTTTTTTATCTTTATTTATATCAAAATAATGAACACAAAAAAATCAACTAGTGTGGTCTTAGAAATTCATCAAGCAAATTGAAAATTGCTCTAAATATCAATTATTATCCATTCAAAACGTGGCATTTGTACCTATCATCACATCTAAATCATTATCAAATCTCATATTATAATTTAAACTAATCAATATACTTCAATTTATTAACAAACTTAAAAACTTTCTAGAATAGAACTTGCCGGAAATTTATCTAACGGACATTTCCGTTATCACGGAAACTCAGACGATCCGTTTTGGAGCTCTGCTTCATAAATGCGCTCATTCTAGAAGGATTTAAAGCGTAAGACCAGAAGATATTATAATTAGCATATAGCTTGCATAGAGGAATAAGATAAAAGGTTTTAGAATAGAAACTAATGTAACAAAAGCGTAAATGCTTAATTGAGTAATGGGTAAAACAGAAGAAGTAGAAAGTGAAAAATGGTATTAAACAATGTGTGGCATTATATTATGAAGTTTTCATAAGTTTTCTGATGTACCACAGCTTCAAAGATCAAGTAGTAAAAGGTTTAATTTATTTGTTTATTGTTTTTAAAATGCAACAGCAGTTTTAGTGAAAAACATAATAATGATTATACGATTGATAAACTAGATGTTCTTTACTGCGTTTTGATATGTATTCAAAAATGCTAAAAGAAAGAATAAAATGAGTTTTATTTCTTTCTCATGCAGCTATAATAAGACTTCTCGGCCTCAATTTGAGATCAACCCTAAGTTACATTTATCATAAAATATTTATCTTTATCATATATAGAACTATCAGCTTATTTATTGGAGCGATAAATATTCACTATTTAAGAAACGGAGGAAAACCATTTTTCGGTATCGGTTTATCATTTTATTTTAATATGAATACATATTTTTAAATATTCAGAAAATAAGTTTTTGCTTCTTAATAGTTATTCTGCTTTTTAAACGTTAAATCATATGTACTATTTTTAAGTAGAAAGAGTTGGACACTATAATTGCTTTGAACTTATTTCACCAAGTCTAGAAAAATACTTGTGATTATTATCACTGAATAATTAGTTTCGTCACTAAAATGAAGCAATCGATAAAAATGCACTAGAGGGTATAGTAGAAGCACATTGAAGAAAAAATTATTTCCGGGCGTAAAAAAAGTAAATTTTCGTTAAAAAAAAAAAAATAAAAATGATGGTAGGAAAAAAAAATCTCAATTCATGATTGCGAATCGTAGTTTTCTGACGAAATTGATTTTTCTTTCCTATAAAAGAGAATTTCAATTATTTATGACTGGAGGGCGCTCATATCTTTTGAAAAGACTGTAGGAAGCGTGTTGTGAGTATAGCCTTTTAATTTATTCGAAGTCTCTCGGTGCGTATGAATACTTAGAGTCGAATGGTTTTTCTCCACCTTATACGAGTGAAATAGAAAGATTTAAACTCTTGATACAAAAATCTTTTCGTGAGTCATGTTCATATTGCTTTAGATATCGTTTTTGTTGTAAAACTTAAACGGAAAATTTTAAAAAATTTAAAGAAATTATGTTTTTAGCGCGTTACTTTTTCGTTACTAAGTTCAAAGGTTTTTTTTTTTCTTTACGTTAATTCGAATGTAAGTTATCGACTAAATGTATGGATCAATTAAATTTTGAGATTTTAATGTTACGTTTTTTTTTTTTTTTTTTTTTTTTTTTTTTTTTTTTTTTTTTTTTTTTTGAAAATAAGTGCTTTTTTTTCTTACATTTACCAGATAAATGTATCTTCAAAGGAATTACTTATCCGCCAAAAATTTTCTTTTCAAATCTAAAATTCAGCAGTCTGTGTAGAAGAAATGTGGTTCCGTTAACATGGTTTTTTGAAGCTTTTTCGACATGGAAAATAAAAAAAAAAAGCCATAGTTTAAGTGCACTTAGAGCAAAACTATAATTTTAAGCTATAGATGTCATCTTGCTTTAAAGAATTATCTGGGTTTTTTTTTTAGAACGGATTTAAAGTTATTATTTAAAAAAAAAATTGCTCATTTGGTGATATTTTCCCCCCTGGATAAAAATTATGAACTCAATGCATATTCCCATATTTTGCAAATTTTTATGATTCCAGATAATGAAGCATTGGATGAAGTTTTTTAAATATTAAAAAATTAGACCACAAATGTGTGGCTTTTCTCCATTTTGAAGTTTTTTTTGCCCCTTGAAGACGCGTGCTTATAGGCTTAACTTAACCTAACGGTCACGAGTAACTGTTGCAAACACGCATCAATTATGAAGACAGCATATTCTCAAAAAAGCGCGACTACAGAGCCTTAGAAGAACGGACTTAACGACTCTTTCGTAAATTATTTATTCGCAAAAAGTCTCCCTCACAAATTGTTTTCTTGTAAAAAATGGACTCTTCACAAAATAGTTTACCTTAAAAGCGAAGCATTCGCACTATATTTTGCCTTAAAAAACGGAATTTTCCCAAAATATTTTAAATCAAAAACTGACTCTACTCAATATGTTTCATTTTAAAATGGATGGATCCTGTACAAATTTCTTTCCTTTTGAAAAAGCGTGCTCTTATTCGCAAACTTATGAACAAATTTTTCACAAATTCATAAAAATCTAAGTTTTTTTTTTGCACAAGAACCATGAAATTTTGAAGCTTTGTTTTCCCATCAAATACTGACAAATTCAAAACTTAAAACGGTTTTATTTAATTATTTATTATAAAGCAAAGTACACTATTTCCGTTTGCCAACACCTTGAAATTTCACTTTATGTGGAATGATGCTGTTCGAATAGTTATATGTAGCAAATTTAAATGTTTAGAAGTTTGATTTAGACTTTTTAACTCCTGTCTCATTTAGTTCTACTTAGAAAATAATAAATGAAGACAGCGCTACAAATTAGGGAAAATGTAGTTGCAAGAAAAGTTGGAAAGATTCATTATAACCTAGATACAGTTATGTGATAGTTAAAGTGCTAATTTTTTTTTTTTTTTTTTTTTCCTTTCTTAGAAAGCAACAAAGTTAATGGAAAAATCAATAACAGCATTTTCTTCACGGGTTTAAGAAGAAGCGCAGACACTAAAGTACAAAATAGTTAAACTTTAGCAAAATATTACAGCGTACAATTAAATTTTGGATATGGTTTGTTGTGTGAGGTAAAAATATTTTATCTCGTATTAGTTTGCAAGAGGAGTTTTTCAAAAGCACTTTTTGAAATGATTTTTATAAGTCTGCTCCATCCCCTTTTCTTTTCCCCATCATAATATTCTATCTTAGAATTTTACTTGTTATTTATTTCCTGCAACAATAACACTTTTTTTTAAAGCTTTTATCTTTTAATGTAGATTACTTTTGGCGTAGTGTTCATAAAATTTAAATGCTAGAGCAGATTCGCCTAGAAAAAATTAGAGTAGTTGCAGAGATGCCAACTTGCTCCGATTTACGAGGTTGTTTTAAAAATTTAGTCTTGGTTTTGTAATGGTTATATTGCCCCTCCTCCATTACGGATAAATTATTGAAACATTAATAGAAAATGCCACTGAATTTCAGTTATTTCATTGGTGGAGTATTTAATGTATTTTCAGAACAAACCAAAGCTCTGCTGTCTAAAGAGTCTAATTTTCTACCAAGAAATTTTTTGCCCCTAGCGAAGCAATTAGTATTCCTACAT